AGGCTAAATTAATCGCGGCGGAAGCCGTTCAACCGGAACTAAGAGGATTCACGGGTCAGGGCGTATACTCTCTGGCCACGCGCTTCTTGAGTTATGCTCCAATCGAGCGATACGCCAATTGAGAGAGAAGAAACCGTCGTCTATTTTGAACTTAATCTTGGTAAATTTTGGTCAATGCGGACGGTTCTCAGCTTTCGTGTATATAGTAAACGATACCTATTGCGACGCTTTCTTACTCAGTTTACGTCATCTTTCTTCGCATGCGGCTTCTCTTTCTTCTTTACTTGATGATCGCTTGGTAAGTGATATATTTTAGCCTTTGCCACGAGGACAATGCTTTCCGCTAACCTTTTCTGCTTATTACGAGCAAATATTGTGGTAACTGATATTTTCCGTAACGCGAAATTGTGGCTAAATTATGAAATTATAATCGGACGCTCCATCTAGTTAATATAAGAATCGTTTTAATACTTTTACTATTTTATAAGTAATAACTATTATTTCCTAGCTTAAAAATAGAAATTTTTAAGAGAAATCCTCTATTGATTTCGTTAATAAGTAATATAAACTCATTTTTACATTATCGTACTACATTTTAATTACCTACAATTTCCAAGTCATTAGTAAAAATATATTTAAATTAACTATAAAAATAATGTAATCAAATGTGATAATAGAATTTCACGGCGACCTATTTTTCGAATTAATTAATACAAATCACTAGGGCAATTTATTACATCAATTACTAACTAATACTTCGTAGATATTCAGTGCATGTAGCGCGTATTAAAAGATTACTGGTTGATTTTTTAATGCCATCTACAACATTATTAAAGCAAGACTAATTTAGCAATATCCAAAATAGTTGACGTTTTATATTTTTCTAACTCTATTTAAAAGAATAACACATTTCATATATATTACTTATATTTATTAATAATTATCAAACTACTGTTCAAAAGTATAATTCCAAAATTTATACTCGAGTAACTGGTTTAAAACATACATCCCTCTGAACACTTATTTTTTATAGCGACCACATTCGAGTTGATCGAGAGATATCCGTAGACACGTAGCAGCGCAAATAACGGCAGACAACAGACGGTTCCGGGTTTCAACGGGGCCTCGACGAATTCGCGCTATTACAAAGATTGTTTTCCAGTCTGGCTAGTGTCCAAGGTTTTGCCGTACCAATGCGATCTAAATTCTCTGCTGTACCCCCCTCCGTCTCCTCCCGCCGGCACAAAAGTGATTTCGTTCGGACAATTAAATTAAAAGAGCAGACCAGCCGGAAAAGAACAAAGCTCCTATCGAACATCGATCTGTTCGTTTTTATTTTTACTAACGATTGAAAGTATGAATTCAATTATTTTTCTCATAAATTTTCCATTATGCGAAGTCTTTCATAAATTATTTCTCTTTTTAAAGTGCGCATTCGATGCCAATTGATGAAACTGAAAGAAGAAAGAGATTGTTCCCCACAAGTTTTTTATATTGTGAGTAATCGAAAAAACCCTCGTAGTCTAGTTCGCGAACGCTTTATTCGACATGTACATTAGAGGCACAAATGCACGAGCCGACATTCGACGACGACAACGACGACGACAACATGAACGTGTAACGATGAAGTTAACGGATGAAAAGTTTTCTCGCGCTCCCGTAGTCAAAAGAGTACCGTGTACTCGCTTTTTCAGAACTTCGTACATTTTCCCTTTCCTCCTACTCGAGCTCGAAAAAGAAAACAGCGAATCAATGATTGGACTATTGGAAAATTTGCGATTTGCTAACCAGTGAATTTATGGGAAATAATCGGAAGTAGAGCGTTATTATCGAAGTGCATTTGATGTCAAGGAATATGTAAAAGAGAGAGAGAGAGAGAGAGAGAGAGAGCTGCTCTCAGCGCTTGCTTTCATACGAGTGTACGGGCGACACTCTAGTCCCCTGGGGGTGGCAAGCTCACCGGTTGACGCAAGAAAGAATGCCCTCTCATGCAGCCCCCTTCTGCCTCTTTTCCTCTCCCGGTTCTGCCGCTGAAACGTGTATAATGCTGCCTTCATTAAAAAGAATTATTCATTCCGCAGACGTGGTGCGCATATTCTAGAAATCATTACACGCCACAAGGGATTACATTTTGTACTCGTTTCTTTGTCTTTGTTTTATATACGATGTAAGCGTGCGGTTCGCGTCATTTATCGTTCTGAAGAAAACATTCATTTTAGTACAGCAACGTGAATCCTAACTATCTTGTTTCAAAGACATTTTTATACAATGACTGTTTTGCATTCAATTTGTCGCTATTCTTATTTCAACGCTAATTCTTGGTTGGCATTGGAAATTAAATAGGAAATTACGGTTCTGTCAAGGCTTATCAAAAGAGCTTAGCCAACAGTTTCGTAGGAATATCTACATGTATCTTTGAATGTAATATACTTTTTCAGGGAAAAAGGATCCGTCGAAGAGATAACATACTATACGTTCACTTATGTTTTGTTTGGTCTATTCAACGAACATTACTATATTTCAGCAAAACAAACATGCGTATACTGGTAAAACTGTTAAAAATTACAAACAAAAAATATTTAAGTGTTGGCAATATGTACCAAAATGATCATGCATATAGTAAATGCAAAAACAATAACGAATAATGCTTTATCAATTGTACAAATTCAAAATAATTGGCATAGAATTAAGGGGAACGCGCGGGCGACTATAGAATATAGCAATGTATCTATATGCTGAGATTTTGCTCGTTTGCAAGGGTCTTGCTACATAACGAGACCTTACTAAAACACCTCCTTCCGCGAGATTTTTTGTCATTAACCACAAGGCGATTTCCTATTTTCGCCAGAACAAAATTGACGACATGATATTAGTGATCGATTCTTGAATCATTAATCATAATCGACTCTACAAAGTTTATAATAGCCAGACCGCACACACAGAGGAATAATAAATTTCACAGTATGGATAATAGATTGCATAATCGCATGAAATAGTGATTGAAGCGGTTTGCCCAGACAGCAATGGTTTGTTGAGGAGTGAAGATACAATTTGCTTTTATTTCCGACTGTAATGTAAAAGGAAGGTAGAATATGCGTCGCGCGTAGTAGAATGGTATGCAGTTTAATTATATCGTGGGCCATTTTAGAAATGGAAAGCTCGCTCGCGCGCGCGGGCACGACTTATACCAATACTAGCTGTGCCACCGACTAATAATAGCGAAGAGACAATCCAGATATTTGCACCTTTCCTACACCGACCGTTTTCACATTTAATGTATGTTTCTCTCTTTAGTTTGTCGAGCAAGCATATTGAGCAAGCAATATACGATCTCGATAATCCAGAGTTGGCGTAAGTACAGTATAGGCAAAAAACGAAAACATAAAGCGCTTAATTTGCCATCTGTGATCACTTTATGCGCAGGCGAAATTATGAGGGGAGGGAAGTACGGCCTAATTTTATGCTCTGGTTTTTAAAAAAAAAAACTCGCCTCTAATTCCCAAAGTCCCCAACGCTCGCGACCTCCTTGATCCTTGAGGCTTTTCGGTCTCTCGTTATCTCTCTCTCTCTCTCTCTCTCTCTCTCTTTCGCCGCATCGTTGTATACATTTTTTTGCAGTGTCGTGTCGTGCATTAGAGGCCTCAAAGACAGGGAAAGGAAACTTCAAAAATAGAACCGACCTTCTAGTTTATGCATGAGGTTTATTCGATTCTCTATACGCTGAGTATCATCTCTCCTTCTCTCTTTCCTCACAAAGTATATGATTATGGTAATTATTGTATTCCGAGCTGTGTCTTTGCTCTACACCGAACAATTGCAGTGAAAAGTCGTTTAGCCGTCTTTAGACGGTTGCTTGGTAATTCAAAAGAAAACTAAAGGAAATATTGTAAATTGATATAAAAATTCCAATGAACCGCGCATCAAATATTAGGAATGAAATAATAAATATGGAAACGCGTGTATTTTAGTGATTAAAAGCTTTGATGTTTGCATCATTCAACCAACCACCAATCATATAAAAATCTACAAATTATTTATGTTGCACATTATTATTGCATTAATATTTCAGTGCATCTGATAGTAGGTGTACCAGTTTAGCAATAAGGAGAAATAATTTTCGTGCCGGTCTTAAATGAAACGTAATTGGAGCAGCCATTTTAAATGGTTAGCAGTGGGAACGACACACACTTGACATAGTTTAATTCTCAGCGGAGCGAACGAATGGAGCTGAACAGAACGCGGGTATGTTTTGTCATCATTTGCCATAAGGCATGTGCGAAGGAAAGTACGAGAGAGAGAGAGAGAGAGAGAGAGAGAGAGATAGAGAGAGAGAGAGAGAGAGATAGAGAGAGCACGTGTGCCGCATAAGTTTGGTCGACATCTGCCGGTAAGGATCTACAATTTCTTACAGCTTGGATATTTTTTCCTATTTCAACTCACCAAATAAAGTGGAATAGTTAGGCAATTATTCAAGCTAACCGGAAAATGTATTATTTTCAAGTGAAGTGACTATAAGAAGCAAAATATTCACGTAAACGTTTTCAAGAAAATTAACAGACAAATCAAAATTCTACAAAGGCTTAGTTGCATTGTTAATCAGTTGACTGCAAACGGGAATAATGGATTTTGTAATTGATTAAAAGCTGTTTCGTGTAATGGTCACCATCAGACGCAAGTTTCAAATAATATCAAATAATTAGAATCCGTACGAGGTAAAAAAAATGATCCAATTGGAAGTGACGAGAGAATGGTTGGTTGCATGTTTCACGCAAGCATACAAACGTTTCATTACTTAAAAAAAGCTGTATGGTATGTTTTTCTTACAGTTATATTTCCATATACACACGATAATGCGACAAAAAAATAGGCTAAACCATAAAACAGAAAGTTGCTAATTTTTTTTTTTTGGCAAACTTTTCACTCCATCTTCGACATGTCATCTGGTAGGTGGAAAACACTTTTGGGATTTTGGAGAAGTTCGAAATCTAACACTCACTGACCTTGAAATTGTTGAGCGACAAGCAAGCAGGCGACAAGAGTGAGGCAGTAAGACCTCGTGACGAGATGCGCCATGCCTGCGCTCGGTAACGAAAAAAAAAATGATAAGAAACTGAAACAGCAAAGTTGTATGGTAAACAGTGCAAATCACAACAGTAGCAGCATGTTGCACGCGCGCTCGCGATGAAACACGGTGCCAGCACCGCGCGTGCCGCTGAACTGAGGCTCAGGCACAGTGTATAGTCGGACGGAGAGCGCGCCGGCAAGCTCCGCAGGCGCCGCGACTCCCCCTCCATGCTCGCCTGTATAAAACCTCACCTGCTGCTGCCGCCGCTTCTGTTGCAAGCGCGGGGGTCGACTTGTTTTTTTTTTTAATTTCAGCTGGTGTTCTCCGAACGTTGGGCCAGCAGTTGGCATGACAAGCTTTTCCGTTTTTTGACGACGACCGTTAATGCACTCGCTAAGCGGTAGCAATGTACAACAGTATCCAAATTATCCTTTGTATCGTGGTTCAGCTTAGTGATCATTCGTCTGACGTCACGCTATTCGAGCATTTATATGTACATAAAGATATACGAGAGAGACAGAAGACTGTATATTACGGACAATGAGCGCTATAAAGTCTCCGTTTTAGAAACGCAAAGGCGAAAGCGCATAGTGATGGATCAATAAACTGTAGACAGCCGTGCATTAATATTGCAGAAGCAATTAATGTGCAGCGCCAGTGAGTTATGACTTTGTCGTACCAATTACCTAGCGTAACTACTTAGAAGTATGCGGTCATGCAGATATAATTTAGTGTGAGGTCTACAATCGAGCGCCTAACTTAAAGGGATAGTCGCGCAGGTTAAACTAACTCGACGAAGTTTATTAAAGCCACAACACTTGCAAATTGACGGCTATAAGGTGAGCGAAGAAGTGAACTTTGCAACTGTTCTGTTTTTCAACGTAATTTGAGTCGTTTCTCAAAATATCACTCTTGAAATATTTACAAGATTAAATCCAAAAGAAGTTATAGCTGCATGGAAGGATACTCGATGCGATTAAAAGTGACGAAGTCCTCGGTGTCTTGCAGAGAAAAAAAAATTCTGTAAAAATTTCATTAACAATAACGGTAAGCCGGCTGCGTCCGCGTCGTACGCGCAATCATTCCGATGCAGTGGCGGGCGGCCGCGCGAGCGCTTGCCAGCAAAGGCGCACAGGCCGCGGGTGGGCAATCAAGCCGAATGGAGTCTCGTCGACGACGTGGAGGCGTCTGTACGTTACACAAGCGGTGTGGTAGTATCGTGGTAAAACGTGAAGTTTGTGCAATAAATTGCCGTCCGACAACTAGCCGGTGATCTAAATATTATGAGTACAGCGGGGAGTGTGGAAAATGACTTCATCGCTTCACTGCCGAAAGCGTCGATGATCGTTGCAGTGCTATTTCAGAAAACTGTGCCAACGCGAGCGAGCGCGTACGCTGCAAAAACTAAGGCAACAAATTGAATGAATGCAACGAGTTTCGCACCCTACGACACATTGGTCGAATAACAAACAATTTTCAGACGTGTTTATTGTCCATACCCAGAGTTCTGTGTTGCATATCGCTATTAGACATTTCGCAGTTGATTTTACTTGTCGAGCTACCGTATAGACGGCTGAGTATATTTTCTTTCTTGCTTTCCACGCCACGGACGCGCAGCCGCGGAAAAACGAGGTCGTTTTCTCGTAGCTATTTTGGAGCAAGTTAAAATAGCAATCGGAGTACTTTCTTCGCGGAATTCTGATCAACGGCTACTTACGCGCACTCGATGTGTGCTTGTTATTTCAGTCGAGCATTACTAAAAATCAATCCACTTCAAAGAGACATAGACTAATAGTTCTTGCTCTCTTGCAGCTGATATAAAATTTAGAGAAAAAAATTGCAGTAAATGGTGTACGTTAAATTTACAAACAAGTTCTGTCTGTTGCATACACGAGTCGCAAGCTCGTAAACAAGAAAACTCTTTGGAAGTCATCAAGTGAACAACGTCGCTGTTTTTTTCTCTCTTGCTATATAATAAAAGAGACAAGTAGAGAAGCAAACGAGGTACCTTATCACCCTTGGAACCCGCACACGTACGCGCCCGCGCGTCTTTAGCTGGAAGTCATTACGGCCTGAAGGGAAATCGCGCTTATCAGTCGCTAAAAGAGCCTCGCGACTGTCATTAAACTCTTGGTTGCGGCGCTCTTTTGAAAAAAAAAAGGAAAAAAAAACGAGAGTGTGGGAGGAAAAGTCTTCAAAGGGGCAAAATAAAAAGAGGCTAGAGCGAGGGAGTGAGAGCAGCGAGGAAAAAAAATAAAGAGTCGAGCGTACGAGTGCGACTGGAACCGAAGCGCGAATTGGGTCGTCTAAATAACTCTTAATTGTGGCCCTTTACCGAGAGTTAGTTCGTTTGACGTGTGCCTAACACACGTCACGTGCTGCTGCTATACTACTGCGCTCGAGAGCGCGCGCTCGCGCGCGCACGATGTCAGTCACGTTTGTCGCGCGTAATTCCCAATTTAAAATTTACATTCAAACGAATCGCGCCGACACTTTTATACATCGGAAACAGTTGGAAGGATATGCTTGAGCGCGAGCGTTCTTCATTTATTAACTTTTATTTTTTAATGAGATAAGTTTACGCAAGTTCTTTAATAATTCCGGCTTTTAGGCGATAAGTCTTTGAGTTGGATGCAACGAGCAGCCAAAAATGTTATTCAAAGAGGGAACTTGCTGCTAGCGGCGGCGGCGTCGGTGCCGCAGCGCAACGCAGTAAAACTTTTTTTAAATTCCCTCATTCGCTGAATCCCTGGTGAAACACACTCGAGCAGCAGCCTTCAAACGGCATGGCTGGCCAGCGCAATACGAGCCAAAGTAAATTCAGGAAAACTCGAACTGTAGTCATCGATGAAATCGAACGTCTTGTTTACTCTCTGCAAGCTCGCGTTGTAAGAAAGTAGTAGCGGAGTCAAAGCTGTAGAAGAAAAAGAAATTAATCGAGAGCGCGGCAAGTAAGCGACGAAGCAGTGTCAAGTCGCGATTACGAAATTAAAGGTTTGTTCACCAAGTGGAAAATCAGCATCAAAGGGAATTGAGCACGCAATTAAAAAGTACAGGTTTTTTAACCTGGCGCTGGGATACGTCTCTCTCTCTCTCTCTCTCTCTCTCTCTCTCTCTCTCTCTCTTCTAGTCAAAGAAAATGCGCCAAGGAAAACGCTCTTGCTTTGACTGGCGCATACAAGCTCTTTTCGCTAGCAGCCAAAGTCAAAGCGAATTAAGGTTCGTTTTTGATCAGCGAGTAGTGCAATGCGTTTTTCGCACGCTGTTAGGAGGTAAAAAAAGAAGCGAGAGAGAGGAAAGAAAAGAAAAACGTTAGCTAGACGCGCGAATGCTATGAAATTTCCTCTGCTCTCTCGCCCGCTCGGGGAGAAAGAGAGCGCGAAAGTATACGACGTTGCGCGAAGAGTCTAAGTTTACTATTGTATACTCCGCGAGTACTTAGAGCAAAATCATGCATGGTAGCTCAAGGGGAACGACGGACGAGCGGTCCGCCGCGGGAACGTATGCATACACACACACACACTCACGTACCGTTTCGACGCGATGCCCTCGCTTTATGCCAACGGCGAAAGGAGGAAGATGAAACGCGAGCGCGCATGTAATAAATCACACACAAGAGTCTTCTAGCGCGTTTTCACATTCAACATTTTCATGTATGTTTCTCTAATATTTATACGTCTGCGATCTGGCCTCTACTATTTGTTTTTCATTTGATGAACCAACTCAATTAGTTAGACTAAAAAAACACGCATTGTGTAGGTAATTATATTTGTAATTGTGCAGCCGTTCATTGGACTGTAACTTTCGCAAGTAACCATACAGAATCGCATTTTGAAGACGTGCGTGAACTGAAAAATCATATTTTGAGCCTTCTCTAGATATAAAATAGAGAATTAAAATGCCGCAGAGTAACACAGTCACGTTTCTCGGAAAAGTCGATAACCCGGCCACAGGCAGGCAAAAACACTGAGCGTATATATATCGAGACGAAAGAAACAAAAAATGAAGAGACAAAAAATGAGATTGCGAGATATAAAAGAGTCTGCGCGCGAGCTCGATGAACTCATCAATTTATCAAAGTGCATGCCGTAATTTTAGCAGTAGGCCCTCGACAGAGACATTGTGTCGCCTGGTAATCCAATCACGAGTTCTCGCGTGCGCGCGAAGGTAATGTGTCAGCTACGACAAGTTATTTGGTTACCCCCTTTAGGACCGCGTAGCGCTAGTAGTAGTGGCAAACAATGATGAAGCCCCGTGTGAAAATGTGTCGCGAGGAAATGAAATTCCCTGGTAAGTTAAAACGCCCGAGCAAGCGAGCGAGGGGGAATGGGTATTAAGTGCGTGGAGGTTGGTTGAAAAGGACGACTTCGTGCTGCTCTTAGTTACGTGGATTGAGGGGGTGGTGGTGGTGGCGAAAATCGATGGTGACGCCCTCGCCCGACGAGTCGCTCAACTACAAGGTCGCGCGAGCATCCACCCTCGGACGCTGAAACACACCTGCCGAGTACCGACGGAGCTGCTATTGCCTGCCACGCTGCTATATATCTGCTGCGCGCAGGTGGGCCCTACACCTGCGCGCTTACCGACGCAGGTGGCGCGAGTCCTGTTTTAGCTATATAGTGCTTAGCTTCTTCGCTTTACAATGCCGCGCGCTGCTGTTCTTTTTGTCTTGTTCTCTATGCTGGCTAATGTCTGTGCTTTGTTCCATTTTTTTCTCTGCGTGGTTTTGTATTGTTTACTCTTCTTTGGCCAATCTAAATCTTATAAGATTCCAATCAAAGTTACTGCACCGAGAAGAATTTTACACATTTTATAAATTGCCTTTTATTTTTATCGGGTTTTTAAATTAATAATGACGATCCATTAAAAATATCTCAACCAAAGTCACTCACAAATGATAAAAATCACAAATGATAAATTGATCAATTTATCACTAGGGTAATTAATTTGAAAAATGAGTTTAATTTAAAACTGACCTACCTTCTCTACTTGATCTACTTACTTTTCATTAGAGATTTCAACCGATCGATAAGACAATTAAATAGCCAAGGACAAACAGCAATTTGAGTCATCCAGTAAGGGATATATAGTTGGATTTCATTGTTTTGAATTGTTCTTTATTGAAATATCAGTGC